TATTATATTTTTAGAGATTTGTTTTAAGTATATTATGAAATATTGTAATTGATTAATTTTTAAGATGTTATTTTTGTTCATTTTATATGTTTATAAGCTAGTTTTTGTTAAACATGATTTGTTCATCAACTAGCTTATCAACTACCGGTTAGTTTATCAGTCATCAGTAAACAACTAGCTTTTCAACCATCAGTAAACAGCTAGCTTATCAGCTATCAATTAGCTTATCAGCTACCGACTAGCTTATCAATCTAGTTTGCCAAACATAGTCTTATACTCTCTCTGTCCTAAGATAAATGTTAGACAATGAAAATGACACGCAAATTAGGTACCTCAAATATAGAAAGAAAAATCTTATTGACCTCATAATTAAGAATAAAATGACAAAATAGAAACTTACTTTTGAGAGTGAATATTTATTTTGGGACAAACTAAAATAGAAATTTAGATACTTAAAGGGTTATTTGGTTGATTTTCCATTAAATCATATTTAGATAAAGTCGTATATGTAAATTAATGTCTTTATATATTGGAAAAGTTTTTGTTCGGGAGATTTCTTATAAATGGAATGAATGCGTTTTTTAATTGTGACGAACATATTTAAATTTTTTTGGTTTTTGGCATAAAATTTTCCTATAAAAACTTATTGAATAGACCACTTTATATATCATTAAGCTACTACCAAATAGTCATATATAACTAAACGAATAAACTCTAAATTCCATTACACTCGTTAAACCGCTAAAAAAAACTCTTAGGGTCGTTTACCGAATGTTTACTCGGGTAAGTACTTACCAAGTTACATTAACTTACCGGATGAATATGGTAAGGATCAAGAATCTTACCCGATAAGAACGAAACAAGAACCGAAGTCTTACCCGGTAAGTGAGAGGGTCAGCTCTTACCACGGTTAATGTTTACCAGGTAAATTGTTGCATATAATATTGTTTTTGTGAACTAAAATCTTACCCAATAAATAAACGATAATGTTGAATTTCATAAGTAAATACTCATCAGATAAGTGATTAGGTAAACGGATACTACCTTCTTCTAGAAAGGAGGAATAATCCCTTGCTTTGTCTTTGATGCAAATAAAAAATCAACTAATTTACCTTCATTTTTCTCTCATCCTTCTTCTGGTCTTGGTCCTCCCCTCTCTCTTTCCTCTCCCACCATGGATTCAGGACTTCTTACCTAAAAATCATAAACCCTTGACACCAAATAGCACAAAAAAAGGAAAACAATCTTCCAAATTTCACAAACCCACATCTCAAGATTCACAAATGTTTAAAACCCACAAATTCAAAATCACAAAAAGAGATTCAAACCCTTTTTCAGGGTTCTAATTTTTTCTTGAATTCTTCCTTGTTGTTTTCATCTCTTCACAGGATTTTGAAGAGTGGTATGTATAGATCTGGATTTGTGATGGCTTGGAATGTGTTTAAATTCTGTACGGCCCTTAGAGGGTTAGGCTCGATCATGATCTTGTTGGTTCTTGGTGTTGTTGGTGTCTCTTATTACGCCGTCGTTTTGTCAATCTACGGCCCTGCTTTGATCTCCGGTGGCCTTGATTCATTCATCGCACTTGCTGTCTTGATCATGTTTCATACCCTGGTAACTAAATTTAATTTTCTTTGAATTCCAGGTTTTTATTTCTTTATTTGTATGTTAACTTAAAAGGTTTTATTTGGGGGGTTTTGTGTGTTTTCAGTTCTAAGTTTAGTAAAACAACCTGAGCTTGACCTTTCTGCTTGATATTATGATTTGAATTGATACCCAAATTGGGAAATTTTCAGCTGCCCAAAATTATAATACTATAAGCTTTTTGTTTGTATGTTTGTTCTTGATTCTAATTTTAGTGAAATTTGATTTGATTTGATCATGATTGTATTAGGATATAGCAGCTGTTTGGTAGTTCAGGGCATTAATTGTTGCTTCCATTTGAGCAAAAGGTTGATTACCGGCAGTATATCATTAAGCCACTACCAAACAGTATTGTATAGCTGACTGGATAAGCTGTGAGTCCCATTAAGCTCATTAAGGTGCTAACAAACAGGCCCTCTGTGGCTGAGGCTAGTGGAGGGGTTCAAGCCTGTCTCATGTACGATTCAAATACTTGTTATGTAGTTGAGTGAAATCGCTCTGCCCCTTTGCCAACTGAGCGACACGCATGAGGGTAATTGTTGCTTCCATTTAGTTGATGGCTTAATTCTCATAGAGATGAGATCGAACCCATTAAATAGATAGTATTTGTGCTACGATTCATTCGTAGCAATCACCACCTTGATCATATTTCGTTCTCCTGAAATGTTTTTCTTGAACTTCCCGGTTTTTGTCAAAATGGGGTTTTCTTTTTTCAGGTTTAAAGTGAAGGATTTGGGGGTTTTGGTATCTTTAAGGTGTTTTTATTTCTAATTTTAGTAAAAAACTGAGCTTGACCATATTTAGATCATCATGATTTAAATTGGTGCCCCTGTTGTGAAATTAAGGATCTTTAGCTACCTGGGTCATAAAGTTATGAACTTTTGATTTCAAGTGTTCTTCATTCTAATTTTAGCAAAATTTGATTTGGTTATGTGCAAAAGATGATGATTTTTATACGTTGTAGCAGCTGTTTCGCAGTTCAAGGAGTTTTAGGCCATGTTTGGCAAACTTAAGCTAGCTTATATTTTGAGCTTATTGAAAACCCCCTCTTTGGTTAGCCATAAACTAGCTTATAAACTTGATCCACTCTTAACATCGACTTAATTTCAAACCATTTTCGGGCAATGAAAATTGTAAGTTTGAGCTGAAGATTGTTAAAATTTATAACAAAACTATGTTAATGCAGTTGGTGATGCTATTGTGGAGTTATTTCTCTGTGGTTCTCACGGACCCTGGTGGTGTACCGCCTAATTATAGGCAAATGGTGGATGAGGAAAGAGGGGATGTTGATCGATTGGCTGGATCTGAATTCAGCCCATTGGCCACACCTGACCCAGCAAATGCAAGAGTTCGTTATTGTCGGAAGTGTAACCAGTTAAAACCTCCTCGTTGCCACCATTGTTCTGTTTGTAAGTTCAATTCATCATTCTTTATCGTTGTTAATAATCCATCGGTTAGTAAAAATGTCGATTTTACAACCTAGAAGGAATTTATAAACAATTATTTTGAACAATTTTGTCATTGTGTTAAATAAACCAAACCAAATAAGTCTGCGGATAAGATGTATGCATACCTCACCTCTACCCTAAAGAGCCCAACATGTCCCACCCGAAGGTAGGATTGGGGATAAGATGTACGCAAACATAACCTCTACCCTAGAGAGGCCAATATATCCAACCTGAAGGTAGGGTCTGGGGATAAGATGTATGCAAACCTAACCTCTACCCTAAAGATCTACCCTAAAGAGCCTGGTATATCCCGTATGATCTGGGATAAGATGTATGCAAATCTGACATTTACCCTAAAGAGCCCAATATATCCCACCCGAAGGTACGGTCAGTGGATAAGATGTAATGCAAGTTAATCTCTACCCTAAAGAGCCCAATATACCCCACCCGAAGGTAAGGTCTAGGGATAAGAAGTATGCAGACTTGACCTCTGCACTAAAGAGCCAATATATCCTACCCGAAGGTAGATCTGGGGATAAGATGTATGGAAACCTGACCTCTACCTTAAAAGAGCCTAATATATCCCACCTGAAGGTGGTGTCTCGAGATAATATGTACACATACTTGAGCTGTGCCCTAAAGAGTCCATATATCCCACCCAAAGGTAGGGTTTGGGGATAAGATGTATGCAAACCTGACATCTAACCTAAAGTGCCCAATATATCCCACCAGAAGGTAGGGTTTGGGGATAAGATGTACACATACTTGATCTCTACCCTAAAGAGACAGGTATATCCCACCCGTAATTTGCTTCTCTTGCTATGTAATTCCCAAGTATATAACAATTTCATCATTGTGTTTAAGTACTAATTAACAAAGAAAAAGAGGGTTGTTTAAGAGTTCTGAATAAAAGTGTATATGTTTGTTTGTAGGTGGAAGGTGTGTGCTAAAAATGGACCATCATTGTGTGTGGGTTGTTAATTGTGTTGGTGCACAAAACTACAAGTACTTCCTTCTCTTTTTGGTATGTCCTCTGCTTCTCTTGCTACGTAGTTTGCTTCTCTTGTTATGTAATTCCCAAATAATCAATCACAAGGATGAATAGATGCTAGAGAACCTAATACCGAAATCTTTTGTCTTTTTTATTTTCAATAAAAAAATATGCAATTTCTTTTTAAGACCCGGAAAACCACAACTGAGGCGGTGTCGTTTTCCTATTAATGCACCATCTGTCATCAAAATATGTACCTACTATATCTCACCCAGAAGGAGGGTATGGGGAGGTAGGATGTATGCAGACCTTTACCTGAGGTACAAAGGTTGTTTTCGTGAAGGCCCGAAGCTTGCTACATCTTTTTTTAGGGTAAAATTAAGAGGGAAATGGAAATCTTGAAAGAAAATTTTGTGACAGTTAAACTTTTTCGGGTAAATTTAAGAGGGAAACATGCTTGTTCTTTTCTCTCACATCAAGTAAATGTACCCATTATCACATCTTCCATTTCTTGACGGACCATATAAACGAATCCGCAAGATAAAATTGTTAGATGGCCAAAAACAAGTTACACTTGAGCTAATGTTGTTACAAATGTACCTTTTGACAATTCAGGTCCAACAAACTAGTTTAGGACTTCAAATTTACTCCCTCCGTCACAAAATACATGTTCACGATGAAAAAGGCAAATAGTTCATATGTACGTGTAATTATTGCACTTTTTAATTAACTAATGACAATTGTATGGAGTAATGAATTTCTCCATCTCATAATTAAGGGTAGAATTGGAAAGTAGGCACATAGTTTTGAAAGTGGACATTTATATTGGGCCAAACAATATAGAAATATGGACACTTATTTTGTGACGGAGGGAGTAATATGGCTTCTTAACCCCCTCTCCCCCGGCCCCCACAGTCCCTCTCTGGGGCGGTGGGCAGAGTCATGGTTAGCAACTTCTCTAATTTTCTCATTGTTTCTTTTATTCATATTGTATTTGGTACTAGCTTATCTTGCAATTAATTTCTCGGTATTTGATGAACTTAAATGCTGTTGCTTGATGCAGTTCTACACGCTTCTCGAGACAACGCTTGTAACTTTATCCTTGTTGCCGTATTTCATAGAATTCTTTAGTGACGGAGAGGTCCCCGGATCCCCTAGCACTTTAGCAACAACTTTTCTCGCCTTTGGTATGATCTATTGAATCCCGTTACCTGCAACTTCTAGCCCTCTCGTTTTGCTAGCTCGCAGTTCATAATTTTTTCTTACTTTTTGTTCTTATTTCTACAGTTTTGAACTTGGCTTTCGCTTTAAGTGTTTTCGGGTTTATGATTATGCACATATCTCTAGTGGCCGGCAATACAACAACAATTGAGGTATAGATTTCTTGTCTCTATAAGTTTAAATCCAAATTTACTTCTTGTTGTTTGTTTATGGATCGAAATGCTAGTTTCATCAAATACCAACAAAAGAACTTTTTATTTTAAGTTTCAAGGTGAAATTTATAGAGTTGAATATACTCCCTTTGTGCCAAAATAAATTGTCCATAATGAAAAAGGTGCACGGTTTTAGAAATGTATAGTTATTACCCTTTTTAATGAACTAGATGACGATTTTACCCTTGATAATAGAGGGGGTAATTAATTATTCCATTACATGATTAAGGGTAGAATTGAAAAGTAGGTACTTTTGAAAGTGGAAACTTATTTTGGGACAATCTTTATTTTCTCTATTTTGGAGATTCTGTTACCAATGATGCATATACGATGAGTACCTTATTTCTCTGAGTCATGGGACACTTGGGGGTTGTTTACTTTCTTTTTCCATTAAGCACTGTATAGGTTTAAGTTGTCTGTCTGGATCATGTGTTTGCCCGAGTAACGAGAGACCGTTGGGTTTGAGGGAGGCAAGAGAGGGTTGGATTATTTCTAGGACATTTCCGGTGTTAATTTGTTTGAGGTGACTTAATGGGGACTAGTAAGGGGTCCCCACTTATTCCATATAGCCATTTTGGCTTAATGGGTTAATGATAAGCCATAAAAAAACACGCCTGTATGTCTGAGCGAATAAGTCACCCAAACCATTAAGATCATTAAGGGCCTGTTTGTTAGCAACTTAATGAGACTCGCAACTTATTCGGTCAGCTATACATGACTTTGGTAGTGGCTTATTGATATAGAAAGTGGTTTATTCAGTAAGCTTATAGCTGGGATCTTTATGTAGAAAGCCAAGTTTTTTCCAAACCTTCCCCTCCCAATTAAAAAACACGCATCTTCCATCTATGGAAAAAACCCTCCCAAACAAAAGTCTTTCCAATCTATACTGACAGATTAATCCATTAAGACAACCGAGTCACTTTTGTAGCACTTTCTTTACACCAACACTTAATAATCTCGTTTTACTCTTCTGTTGAAAGATGTGGAAAAAGAGATCTAGTTCTTGATTGATTATCTTGTTTTGATTAGGCATACGAGAAGAAGACCACACCGAAATGGCGATATGATCTTGGCCGTAAGAGGAACTTTGAACAGGTATCGTGTTCTTTTTAATCTTCCAATGCTTGTATGCGCGTTATGTCTCAAGGTTAGGATCTTATGAAATCTTGATTTATATGTGCTCAATCCATACGACCTTCAAGAAGTTGTAATAAAATAAAGATGAATGCCAACACTATATCTGGTGTACCGCTCCAAACGAACCTAGTATATCTCATACAGAGGTAGAAGTAGGGCCAGGGTAGGATGCATGCAGATTTGTCTCATGCTAGTTGTTGACTTATTGGTCAACAACTAGTTTTCCAGCCAACAACTAGCTTATCAGCCAACAACTATTTTTCAGCTAGTTTGCCATCTATGCTAAAACTCTCGTATCTCGCAATCGAGGTTTTATGTGTATGATCATAGATCTTTTATCATCCTATTACGTGTTTTTGGCGTTTTCCTTACATTTTATGCGTTGGTTTGATCATCTTTTTAGCTAAAAGTTTGGCGAAAATTCAGGTATTTGGAACCGTTCAGAGATACTGGTTTATCCCCACTTATAGTGATGAAGATCTACGTAGAATGCCCGCCCTTCAAGGTCTCGAGTACCCCTCAAAGCCCGATTTGGATTCCCAAGAATTCTAAATACAACTCGGAAAACAAACATTTTTCTTCATTTACAACATGAATTCCGAACCCCCGGGACCTCACGTCCATCAAAGCAGGTTACAACTTATTTGGGGTATCGGCGTTTAAACTTGCGTAGCAGCAGGTCTTGAGACGGATATGTAGGCGTTCGTCGGAACGGAGAAAGCGGAATTCGGTGTCTTAGAGTAATTGGGGTTCATGAAGTTATTGCAAGTTATGTATACGGTTTACACGAAATGTAAAATGATAACGTTTTGACTATTTGACCATATGTATCGGTGGACTAGTTTTCGTGACGGTTCGTTTTTTATGAAGGATTCTGGTCGGATTCTTGGGTGATTTGGGTTTTTTTTATGCTTGTAGAATTGTAGCATTGAATTTGATTCTAGAGGTTAGAAACCGGTGTAGATGACCATTTGGAGGGCTTAGAACCCAAGCCCTTGAATTTTGACATATTTGAGAGAATAATATCCTCTTTGAGAATAAGAAAAGGAAAAATGTTCGATTGGAATATGAAAACGTTTAAGTGGTTGTTTTTTTACCTCTTAATAGTTTCATTAAGAAAATAACTTTTGAATCGTTAAGAGGTGAATCTTGTTTGTTAAAAAAAACCTGGCCTCTTAATGGTTCTAAAATACTCTGAATGATTTTGCATTCTATGCCTCCTTTAACCATTCAACGTTCTAATTTCATTGTAAACAATTAGCAAAAAATTATATTTTATTTTGTACTATATCATGAGAGCTTCTTAATCATTCTCACTACTTGATCATTCTGCATCAAACCATTTGCAACTATCAAACAGTCCCTATAATTTTGGAGATCTTAGAGTTATTTTTTCTCTAACAGCTATAAGTGTATGTTAAAATAGAGAACGTATAAATCTCCAAATTTGGAGAAATCTTTAAAATTTAATAATGGGCAGAGATGCATATTATTTTAATTGTTTCCATTAATGAGGTTTAGGGATGTTCAAAAAACCGTCGAACCATTCAAACCGAATCAAACCGGACCAGTTTTGATGGTTTGAGTGGTCGGACTAGACCCAGTTTGAGAAATAGCCAGGCCGCTCAGTCTTGTCTGGTGTGGGGTTTTAACGTTTTTTGAACAGTTTGGACCGAACCGACCATCGAAATACACATGTTTTAGTTATATTTACTTTCCATGTTGTCGACTCCATTTTATGGTCCAATTAAAAAAAAATCGTCCAAGATATTAAGTTATCAGTTTTTCGCGTTCCTGAAATCAACAAAATTCCAGAATCCGTCAAAATCAAAATCCAAAATTCCAAATCATCTTTCGACTTGCTCCATACTTGGTATCCATAGATAACTTCTTTAGGGATACTCATCAACAATGGTTTAAACTTCAACATATCGATTATTTAAGAATCGAACAAATCAAAAGTTGAAGCAAATCGATGGTTTATAAATCAAACAAATGCATTTTGTTTATGGACCAAACAGATCGATCGTGAGAAATGAGCAGATTCGATTCGTGAGAGATGTACCTGGCATATTCGATTCATGTTGCATTGAGCAGATCGATCGTGAAGTAAAGCAGCATGAGAGAAGCTTAAAAGGGCAATCTTGAAAAAAGTAGGACGTTAAATGGTTTAAGATAAAATTGAGGCTTTTCTTATTCTTCCCACTATTGTTGAATTTAGTTAGTGGAACCCTGATCATCGTCTACATAACGATGATCTTGGTTCCATTGATATTAATATATACACACACGTATTAAGGTCCAATAATACGTCACATACTACAAAGTTCACAGGGCATCATCAATGTCCTGCCAAAAATCATAACAGCTGTAGCAGATATCAAGGCATCTACACAAGCGAAGCCTGATTGAGCGCTAAGTGAAAATGATTGTTTAACTAGTGTATGATTAAACTTTGATTGAAACACTGACTGGGATAGAAAGCAATCTCTTGCTTACTGCTCAGCATAGGTCAGAGTTTTTCACGTAAACACCTCATACTCAGTAACAGGCGTCAACAGGTGGTAAACATTAAACAACCCCCTAAAGAAAAGTACAAAAAACAATGCATGCGTGCTGAATTTTAATAATGAAGATCAAGTGCTTATACTGTCATACGAAACATTACCAAACAATGATCTTTTTCGGCTGATTGACTCTGATTTTGAAAATTTAACAAAACTCTTGACTTAATTACCGGATTTAATTATCGAGATTGGTTTTCGGGCGGAATATTCCGCCAGTAAATATTAATTTGTTTTTAATTTTTTTTTTTTAAAGATATTACTTTTTATTAAATTAATTTGTCGACAGATGTTGATGTTGGAAATTCGCTGGTAATTTTTTATTTTAAATTCAATAATAACTAGTTGTGTACCAGGGTAATGCGACGAGAGCCGTGAATTTTAACGATTTTGAAATTTCATTGGTTTTATTAGAGAAGATTTAACGATGATATAAGTTACAATTAGTCTTTACATATTAATACAATTTGAATAAATAAGAGTTATGGTTCCAATTACAGTCTATCGATGAAAAAAAATTGTATGACAGTTTAAAATCAAATATATTTAAAATCTAACATATTTAAACGACTTCACAAATGTGTTCGATTTACATCAAGAGCAAAGAATCAAGAGATCGAGACCGAGAGTTTTAGAGCAAATGAATAGGAGATGAATGAGAGATATTTTAATAACTCGTAGTGAATATCAGTTTGAATCTCAACTTGGGGATGGAGAGAAGACATAGAGGTATGAGAGAGTATAAGATGTCAAAAGTATATTGGGAACATGAAAAGAAAAGGTAATAATGTGCATTAGTAATTTGTACTATATGTTATTTTAACCGTAGATTAAGAGATTTTAAGACTAAATATATAAAGTAGTAGTACTTAATGCATTATGAATTATTTTTAATACTTTTAAGACTTTGTGTATAAATGTAAAGTATTTTGTACATTAAAAATTATTTTTAAGACTTTTGATAAATATGGTTTATAAGGTAGTATAGATTTATATATATATATATTTTTTTACTGATTAAATACATCAATAATCGGTCGGAAAAACAACCGGTTCCGGATAGTTGTATATTTCCAGACCAATAACTACCTTCAACCAATTCTAACGGGTAAGACTTGAGCCGATAAATCCAGCTGCCGGATAAACCTCCCGATGCTAACCTCAAACCAGCAGCCATGGAATTCAGCACTTCCTACACTCGTTCATCTCCCAAATTGCAAAACCCAATTCGATATAAACCAAATTCACGCTCGATTACTAACAACTGGATTCATAAAAAACTCTTATCTAACCACCAAACTAATTCTCTGCTTTTCTTCTTCTCCACATACTCCTCTAATCCGATTCGCTCGCCATATCTTTTTCTCCCATTCGAGTTCATGGAGCTCAAAAACAGACGACCCTTTTCTTTGGAATGCCGTAATCAAGACTTTCTCACATGGGAATCATGGGGATGACCCAAAACAAGCGGTTTTTGTTTTGGGTTTGATGCTTGAGAACGGGGCTTGTGTTGATAAGTTCTCGTTTTCTTTGGTTTTGAAAGCGTGTTCACGGATGGGATTGATTAGAGAAGGCATTCAGATTCATGGGTTTTTGGAAAAGGTTGGATTTGCCAGTGATTTGTATTTACAGAATTGTTTGATTTGTATGTATGTAAAGTGTGGGTGGGTTGAGTTTGCACGTCAAGTGTTTGATAGAATGCCGCAGAGGGATTCAATTAGTTTTAACTCGATGATAGATGGATATATTAAGTGTGGGATGGTAACTTTGGCTCGCGAATTGTTTGATTCTTTGCCATTGGAGATGAAGAATTTGAGGTCTTGGAATTGCATGATTAGTGGATATGGGGTTGTTGAAGATGGGTTTATGATGGCTTGGAAGCTGTTCGATGAAATGCCTGAGAGAGACCTGGTCTCATGGAATTCGATGATTCATTGCTGCATAAAGAACGAAAAGATCGACTTAGCTCAATCCCTGTTTGATAAGATGCCGGAAAAGGATGTTATCAGCTGGGCTAAACTGATAGATGGGTATGCGAAATTGGGCAGCATTGATATTGCTAGAAACCTGTTCAATGAAATGCCTGAAAGAGATGTAATCTCGTGTAACGTGATGATGGCCGGATATGTGCAAAATGGGGTTTTTTCGGAAGCATTGGAAATCTTTCATACCATGAAGAGTGACACCAATCTCGCTCCTGATGAGACTACTTTATCGATCGCTCTTTCTGCAATCGCACAATTAGGACACAGTGAAGAAGGTGTTGCTATCCATTCGTATATAACCAGAAACGGTATTAAATTGGATGGAAAACTCGGGGTTTCACTAATCGACATGTACGCTAAATCAGGCAGAATAGAAACCGCTCTGCAAGTTTTTGACGGCATAAAAGAGAAAAACGTCGATCACTGGAACGCCATGATTGGTGGTTTTGCTATCCACGGCTTCGGCAAACTGGCTTTTGAATCGTTCCTTAAGATGCAAAAACTTCGTGTAAAACCAGATGGAATCACATTCGTCAGTGTGCTAAACGCTTGTGCCCATTCGGGTATGGTGAAAGAAGGCGTTATTTGTTTCGAAATCATGGGAAGAGTCCACATGATCAAGCCAGAAATCCAACATTTTGGTTGCCTCGTGGACATTTTTGCCCGTGCGGGCCGGATCAAAGAGGCAATGACCATCATAGAGGAAATGCCCGTTGAGCCAAACGATGTGGTTTTTCGTACTTTGCTTAGTGCGTGTAGTAATCTTGAAAATAGCGTACAAAGGCCGACGGTGAATCATGCAATCGGGATGGATGATTATGGTTCGGGTACTTATGTGTTGTTATCGAACATATATGCTCGTTTTGGGATGTGGAATCGTGTTAGGAGGGTCCGGGTAATGATGAAAGAACGGAAACTCAGAAAGGTTCCTGGGCGGAGTTGGATAGAACTGGACGGAACCTTTCATGAATTCTTTGTAGGAGACGGATCGCATCCTCGGGTTGCGGAGATCTATTCCGTTTTGGACAACTGGTCTCTCGATTCTCGAGTTGAATCCTTCAGGTTACAATCTAAACTCGAGCCTGCTTTGTTTCCGGTTGGTAGCTAGATCGAAGTAGATACTTTTGCTTTATATGTATATTTAGCGATACACGAAGTCGAGTTAACCGTTGGTTGAAAAGAAACTAGTTGAGTTTAAAGCTGTTGGAGTCCCACATCAATTATACTATTTATCCTTCATATATGTTGGAACCTCTTTTCTCTCCTTAAGGGATCTTTTGGAGAGTAATCTAATGGGTTCCATATATTATTATACAGTATCAAAGTGGATATCAACCACTCTAGGGACTCAATTTGTGCCCTGCAGGCTTTGTGTAGTCTCATTTCAGTTATACTTGAACTATTTATCCTCAATATATGTTGGAAGCTTCCTTCTATCCTTAAGGGCTCTTTTGGGGACTAATCTAACGAGGTCCATTTATTCTCATAAAGTATAAGAGTTAAGATTAACCATTCTAGGGACTCGACACTCTGTGACAATCTATGCCCCCTCTAGTCTCCGTTGGAGGGTGCGTATTGGAGTCGTACGTCGGTTAGATTTGGACCATTTCTCCTCGATATATGTTGGAACCTCTCTTCTCTTATCAAGGAATCTTTTAGACAGTAATCTAATGGGGTTTCACATATTCTCACAAAAGCAATTGTATTCTTCTATCCTTCGACAAACCAAAACCATCTTGTGTTCCAAAATCCAGCATTTCGAATAAAAATACGAAACATAACTTGCATGCAACAACTACAACATAATCTTTGAAAGTCAGATGTTCTTCCGGCTTGAAACCCGTGTTCGAAAAGCTAACATTTTACTCCAAGTATTGAAGATAATAAGGGGTCATTTACCATATGCTTATCCGGTAAGTGCTTACTGGATCACTTATCTTACCGGATGAACATGGCAAGGATCGATAATCGTACCCGGTAAGAGTGATGGCAAGGACCGAGTGTCTTTACCTGGTAAGTGAAGATGACGAGTCTTACCCGGTCAGTGCTTACCCGGTAAATTGTTGCATGCAATGCCGTTTTCATGGACTAGAATCTTACCGGTTAAGGTATGTGAGAGATTTGACTCTTACAAGTAAGCATTTACGTGACCCCTAAGTTTATATAGTCAATTTGTAATGATTTTCATTCGATAGGGTGGATTATGACATTAATGTAACTTCTGGTCCTGCAAAGAAAAAGCAGTTTGTGAGTAAAGAAAATTGCACTAAACACCCCTAAGTTTGAAAACTTATTTTATTTAATCCCCTAGGTTTGTAAGAATTACATTTACTCTTGTATTCTTGAAGTAATAATATAATATCGACAAGGGCAACATCGTCATTTTACATCTAGAAACATAAAATGTACAGAGTGTATGTAAAGATAGTTATTACAAAACTATTTATGTTCAACTATGATGTTGGCTCTAGAGGTTAGGTTAGGAGTTGAAATGATCAAGTTCTATTACGTTATCAGAGGGTTTGTAGGATCGTTAACTATATATTAGTCAACCATAAGGGTGGTATCTGATTGGTTTGAGCTTGACTCCAAAGGTCAAAGGTACCGGAGGTCTCAGGTTCAAATCCAAGGAGGAATAAAAATCTTCTTGTGGCCACAGAGGTTCAAATGCAGTGACTCTGGGCTATTTGCAAAGCAGGTGGTCGTTCTGAGATTAGTAGGCTCGCATAGCGGGTTGGATATCCAGGTTAATAAAAAAAACTATACATTACTCAAAACAACCGATTCCAACATCATGATTATCAAATTGAATTACATTATGTTGTTATTTTGTACAAAAAGGGAAAAGTTTAGGAAAACCCAATAAATTTCTGAAGTTTTTTTTAATAAAATAAACTACTAAACTTTTAAAAATTGGTTATACTTGAAACTTCACAGCAAAACCCTATGAAGGTTCGGTTTTTTTTTTACTTTCACAGCATTTTACTGTGAAGTTTCAAGTGTAAAAGTTTATCCTACAGGTCTCATAAAAACAGGCTGATCTCATATGAATCCAATTGATCCATTAAAATATAATAAAAAAATTGATTTTTGATTGCTCATTAGAAAAGGACACCAAGGGGCACCAAGCCTTTATCTATGAAATCCCATTTGCTATTTAGCCTTTTGTCTTCTTTTAAGGATCCCTTTTAGGTTTTAAATGGCGTAGTGGTCAAAACCCGAGCCTTACATGTCATGACGAGAATGTTATATTTTTTTAAGATGTGATATGAAATGGTAAATTTGTATGTCATATATAAGATTATATATAAAGAGAAATGAGAGTAGTAGAAAAAAGAACATGAAAGCGACCAAATCACATGTGATGTGACACTAACAATCAATGTAAGGGTGTACAGGCGACATGACCCATGACCTCAAGTCACAGTCGATGTCATGTGAATCACATTTGATTTTGGTGTGAATCACATGTAATTCGATTGTTTTCTTTTTTCACTTGTTTGGTTATTGTTCTCATATGAACTTGACTATATATATATAGTGAGAGAGACGTTCAAATAAAAACCACTTAATTTGTACAAACCGTAAAAACCATATTCAATCAATCATAATTTTTCATTTTGTTCATTTTTTTGTAATTATGAGAGGTTGATTAACCATTTTTATTGTGGAGGGTGTTAATCATGGATAWTATCATCTTCATTATTTTAAATTTAGAGAAATACATGAAACCATTTCATTAAAAATTCATTAAGTAGTATATGAAACAATTTCATAGCCATATATGAAACAACTTCATCAAAAAAAAGTATTATATGAAATAAGTTCACAAGATTAAACAATTTCATGAAAAAATTTCATAAGATTAATCGTGTATATATATATATAGAGAGAGAGAGAGAGAGATGAGATCATGTGAGACCAAAGATTTTTCGTGAGACCCGTAAGACCAATCCTCAACCCTTGGATTAGATCTATAATCTGAACATTCATAATCACAAAACTGTCACGAGAGTTCGTAATAATCACAAAATTGTCACCGTACAACTTTAGACCATTAGATCATCAACTTATAAAGTTGATCAATGAACATAAATTGGTCTTACGAGTCTCACGAAAAACCTTTGGTTTCGCGTGAACCCAACCCTATATATATATATATATATATATATATATTATGTCCATTCAAGGGAAACTGACTAGTTTGTGGTAACCGTGAAATCCAATCTCAACCACAAATTAATAGATAAATTAGAAAGTCTATAATTTTCGTAATTTTTAATTCAAATTTTAATGCAAGGACATTTTAGGTATTTTCTCTCATAGCCTCTCTTCTCTCTCCGTCCCCCGTCCTCCGGCTACCATACTCCAGTGATACCACTGTGATATCTAAATATATTGACTCCTCCAGCCACCGTCCTCCGGTGATACCACTGTGATACGTCAAAATATTGACTCTGTTAAACAAAAGATACAGTATGATACTCAAGCACATATTAGATGTATTGTGATACCATTGTGTTACATCTCCGATCGACCATACAAACGACCTCATTGTGATACCCAAGCATATATAAGATGCATTGTAATACCACTGTAGTATAACCGAAGGACGGAGAGAGAAGAGATGAGAGAAAATACCTAAAATGTTCTTACATTAAAATTTTAATTAAAAATTACCAAAATTATAAATTTCCTAATTTATCTATTGATTTGTGGTTGAGATTGGACATCACGGTTACCAAAAACTAATTAGTTCTTATTTGATTAGGCTCCTATATATATATATATATATATATATATATATATATATATATATATATGTGTGTGTGCATAATTCGATGACATGATCATACATAAATATTTAAAGTCACCATAACGTGAATCACACCTTACAAAAACGTTATAAGCCTTATCATAACAACAGAGACACGTCTTACATCATTATCATACCCTTTTAAAACATTTATAAAAACAATATATTTATTTTAAATTATCATAAAAAAAAAACTCATTTCTAAGAAATTACTTTTCATTTACTTGAAATTAGACATAATCAGATTACAGTCAAAGTCAAATCATGTTATAAACCTACAAATGCTAGATAACCTGAATCGCGTAGAGTACTACGCGATCCAGAACGTAAACTAAAAAAAAGGAACTTAAATGGTTCGAGTGAGAAACTCGAACCTAAATAACTCCTACATGCAACCATCGCCATCGATTCGTAAATCAAGGGCTCGAACCAATGCTACTTAGCTCTTGCACCACGTCCATGGTTGTCGGCCTTGAGTTTGGACTCTCGTGAGTGCATAGCAAGGCAATCTTTCCAAGCGTAACCGCTTCCGTCTCCGAGAACTTCCCGTCAAGATTAACGTCCACGAAATCTTCAAACTTGCACAACTCAGCACCTTGGCGGACAGACAGACTGATTCTCGTTTTTCCCGAGACTATTTGGAACACGAGCATCCCAAACGCGTAAACGTCGCTCTTTTCGGTAAACCGACCGGTTGTCGTGTACTCGGGAGCGAGGTATCCCATTGCGGCACTGGCTTTGAGCGTAGAAAAGATGATATCGTCGGCTAGTAGTTTGTGGAGGCCGGAATCCGAAAGTAGTGGCGTGTAGTGTTGATCGATGAGGACATTTTCAGCCGATATGTTTTGATGTACGAGAGCCGGTTTCTTTCCTTTGATCCCGTGTAGGTACTCGAGACCTATTACAACAAACACAAATTAAATATCTCCGTCTCGTACTCGTTTTATCACAAAATAAATGTTCACAATGAAAAACACATTATTTTAAAAAGAGTAAATTGCGATTTTCGTTCTTGGACGATTTTCGTTCTTGGACGATTTTCGTCCCTGTCGTTTGTTCATAATTTTCATTTTCATCCCTGTGGTATAGAAACTGTGATTTAAGTTCCTATGGTTTGCAATTTATTCGCTTTTTAATTTGCCAAATGACAAATTTACCCTTGGATGGAGAAATGAAATTTCTCCATATAAGGGTAGATTCATTTCTCCATATAAGGGTAGAATTGGAAAGTAGTCTATTGGAGTCTGAATTTGGAACGAAGGGAGTCATTTTACCCCGAAAGTTTAACTCAAGCTAGATTACGACTAACCTTTAGCGATGCCTTTGATTATCGAGGATCGAGTCGACCAATCGAGAACATTCCCGTTGCCCATTTTGCCCTTGACATCGAGATATTGCAACAAGCTTCCCTTAGCAACGTAATCGTAGATCAGAAAACACTCTCCCCGGCCTTTCGAACAGCAGAAACCTCGTAACCTAAGAAGATTTTCGTGTTTTAATGATGTTAGAATCTTTAATCCCTTTAAAAACTCGGTTTCATCGGATACACAGCTCGTTTTCGCTATTCGTTTGATCGCAACTATCGATCCATCCCTTAAAATCCCTCTATAAGTAGCCGAAAAGCTGCTTTTCCCTAATAAATTCGAGTCGGAGAAGAACCGAGTTGCCGACTCGACATCATCTACGTTAAAGACGTAGCTCTCGAGAACTTCTTGCAAAAACCCGCTTCCGGTTTGACCTTTTGACATCGGGTCCCACCCATTCGAGTACTCGAGACTTATGAGCGGGGAAGCACTTCTTCGGTTGACCACTTCTTTGACTTGATACTGATCGGTACTAATCCGGCTATCGGAGGTTTCAAAAGCGGTTCCAATCCTCTGTTTTCTCCGGCGATACCATATGAACGTAAAAAGCCCGGCAACTAACAGCATAACTGTCATAACGGCTCCGAGAATAGCGACTAGTCCGGCATTCGTTGACTTTGACTGAGCGCGGGTTACGTCTGCAGATTGCGGAATGGCTTTTGGGGTGAGTCCTTTCGACTGTGGCCCAAACGGTTCCGGTTTATTAGGGTTTTCGGGACCGAAAGAACTGTTGCAAACTTTCAGATCGGCAAAACCAGATCCACATAACTCGGTGTTGTTCGCATACTGAAATCCTTCATCAAGTTTCTTCAAAACTTCAATAAGAAATCAATAAAAACGCATATAAGTTGATTGATAATCAAAATCAAACGATTGATGAAGAACATCACGTTCTTCGTTTCGTGGGTCCCACCTTCGCTTCTGCTGGTGGGACCCCAAAAACGGAAGTATTCCAAAATCTATAACACCATGAAGAACCAATATTTATAAAGTAACCGGCTGTTTGAAGCATCGTACTCGACTTTCGGTTCCAAACTACTTGTAAAAACATTCCGAAAAAACACTAGTCTGCTAAAACGGACGATTTTAAACAAACTTTGGGTATTTAACCGTAAAACCAAATGCTTTTTATCCAAATCCGCTCATTCTTGCAAAAATCGACGTTCTATTTGTGTTTTCCGAAGGAAAAACTGCTCGTTTTTCAACGAAGACCCAAGTATAATAGTTCGAAAGACCGATCGTTAAAACCACCGACACATCTAAATGAGCGATTTTGGACAAATTATAGAAACATAAATGCGAAAAAAAACCAACGTTTTCAACAACCATGAGCTACCCAATGTCAAAACCCGTCCTTTTCAACAACCATCAAACGAAATTACCTAAAGGGACATTGCCAGAAAGCGTATTGTTTCGCACGTCCAACACCTGCAACAACGGAGCATCGGCTATTTTCAACGGGATGGAGCCGAAAAGGCGATTGAAGCTCAAATCCAACCTTTGTAATGTCCCCAAATTTCCGAGCGTAGCGGGAATGGCACCGGTGAGTTGGTTGTATTGAAGAGCAAGAACATTGAGCTTCTTTAAAGATCCAAGTTGTGTAGGCAAGCTTCCACTCAATTGGTTGTAGCATAGTTGCAAAACTACAAAAACAAATAACAAAAACAACATTAAAAAAACGTTACGTTATTCGATCGGATTAAGGTTTCGATACACTAGCAGGTGGGCCCTGGAGGTGGGATGTATGTAGACCTGTCATCCATCTCAAAAATTTACAAAAGGTTCCAATTTTGGAAATAGAAATGCAGATGGGACCTCATTTCTTTCACTTTCAGGTTCCCATCTGCATTTCCACTGACAACTAAGACTACGTTGGCAAGCTAAGCTAGTTGTTGGTTGATAAACCAAATGACAGAACTAGTCATGTTTGGTAAAAACTAGTTGATAAACTAGATAAGAATGTAAATGACCTAAAAGGACATGTTAGAAAGTTTAATCGGGAGTAAATTACATTTTTCGTCCCGGTGGTTAGTTAGAAGTTGCTACTTTTGTTCTTGTATTTTTTAAATTACGATTTTCATCAATATGGTTTACAATTTATTGTTATTTTCATTCTTATGTTTTATAATTTATTGTTGTTTTCGTTCTTACGGTTTACAATTTATTGTTGTTTTTGTCCCTCATAACTAAAGGTAGGAGTTAGCTTCAAGAACGAAAATAGCAACGAATTGCAAACTACAGGGATGAAAACCGCAATTTCAAAACTACAGGGATAAAAAATCCGCAAATTTTAACAAACCATAGAGACGAATACGTAATTTTACAAGGGGCATAATAGGAAAAGTGGGAAAAAAACCTAAAGCTTATGGCTAATAAACCTACCTTTTTTGGTAAGTTCAGAAAATAAGCTAGCTTATGGTCAGCAAACATGGCTAAATAGTTGTTATCACATGCGTTCAAACCATATAAGTGGGATCCACGATATGAAAAATGTTAAAATGATCGAAACCGAAAAACCTAGAATCTTGGAATATGACAACTTTGTTTTCACATCATTGACGTTCGTTTTATGGGCCCGTCTTTATTTCTCGTCACATAAACCGGGGACCTACCGGGACATGCAAAATGTAATAAATGAACGATGTGATGGTGGGTCCCACTTAAGTGAACGGGAACGAAAACGGGAACTTTTCATCTTTGTTTCTATTCGAGGGAAAAGACTCCTTGTCATGGACCTAATATAAACTAAGGGATTGTTTGGCAGTTGTTAAATGGTTTGGTGTAAAATGATTAATTAGTCAGAATGATCAAGAGGCTCTCATGATATAGTACAAACTGAAATATAATTGTTTGGTAATTGTTTATAATGAAATTAGGGCTCTTAATAGTTAAGGGAGACTCACGATACATAATCATTCAGAGTGTTTTAGAACCATTAAGAGGCAGATTTTTTTTTTGCCAAACAAGATTCACCTCTTAACAATTCAGATATTGCCTCTTAATATAACTATTAAGAAGTAAACAAACAACCCCCAAATCAAACAAACCCAATATATCCCTAAATGGACTCAAAAATCACAATGTTAAGTCCTAAAAATCTATCTTTTTGGGGGAAAGACATTCAAAGATTCTTGAAACATGATAACAAATTCCAAGAAACCACATGAATTAAAATTACAGAAATGCCCTTCTAAGCCTCAAAGAAACCACCACACATTTACCAAATCACATATGGTAGGTAATTCTTTTTTCCAGATCAGGAATTACCAAACCCAGAGTAAGGCTGCTGTAATGACTTGTACATATATTATATCTAGACTTGTACCATGCTTTGGATTTGGTAATTTCTTCTAAAGAGCTAACCTAACATTGATTCTTTCTTCTTTACATGTTACTATTTTTGTTGATTAAGTCATACCCATTGTCAGGAATTGAATGTTATATATATATATATATATATATATATATATATATATATATATATATATATATTCGAGAAAATGTAATGTTTATACAGTGTTGTTTCATATATGAAACGTTCAAGACTGTTTTGTGTGGGGAAAACACGAAACTGTAGACATTGTATTTTCACACTTATTGTTTCATACACAAAAATTGGTTTATAAACTTATACTAATTATTGGGTTTGTAAGAAAAAAGGCTCTCTTTATACACATAAAGACACATAGGAGATGTTTGGGATTGCTTATTTGAAACAACTTTAATTAGATTTTTCTACAAAATCACTTATCAAACTTATTATAAGTAAGAAGGGTTTAACTTCTCCAAAAACTTCTTATTAGTGGTTTAGTACCGGTATAAGTTGTTTATCCAAACACTCAAAAGTGCTTCTTACCGGTGCCACACCGGAATAAGTCAATAAATTATTTTTATAAGCAATTCCAAACACCCCCATAATATACCTCCTTTAATTGCAAATAAATGTCTAAAATCCAGAATTATATTACAAAAAGACCACAATCTGAGTTCATTAATACATGCATTTATCAAGCTTGAATCTTTATGATGTAAATTTACAGAAACACCCCTCTCCAAACAAAATCAACCTTTGAAGTGAATCTTTATGTAATCAAATGATACCCATTTGCAAGATTTTAAATATTTACAATAAAAATAAAAAAAATAAAGAAAAACCCAGAAAAAAACTGACCTTGAAGATTAGCCATTTTCTCAAGTTCTTGAGGTATCTGTCCAGAAAGATTATTAACATTCAGATACAAATCAGACAACTGAGTCAGCTCAGCAATCTCTTTAGGGATTTCACCATGTAACCCATTGAAATGCAGGTACAACCCAGATAAGCTTTTGAGTTGCCCAATCTCAGGTGGTATTTTACCAAAAAGCCCATTACCCTGAAGAGAAATATTCATCACATGACCTGATTCATCACAAGCAACACCCTGAAAAGACCCATCACAGTAAGAAGTGGCATTTGGTGACCAAGAAATTAGGGTTTGGCCATTTGGGTCCAAAAACGACTTGATTTTGATGAGGAGTGAGAGCTCTGAAATGGGGTTTTCTTGATGTTTAGCTAGGGTTTGAAATGGGAAAGTGAAAAGATGAAGAACAAGAAGGAAAAAAAGGGTTTTCATGGTGGGTTTTTGGGGGTTTGATTTGTGGGTTTTGGGGTTTTGATTTTGAAGATGGAAATGATGAAGAGAATGAGTGGGGTTTTTGAGAGAGGATTTGAAATTATTAGCAGAAATGCTGACAAAAGTCACGTGAGGAAACACACACTCTACACAGAGTGGATCCGAAGCTACTCAAGGTTAAAACGGTATTGTTGTTTGAGTTCAAATTAGTTACATGTAGGACCTTGTATTATGAATCAATGTCAATAATAGTCCCCAAAGTATCACTTTGTATTCATATTAGTTACATATTAGTTTCTTTATGAGGCAAAGATGTATTAAAATGTAATGAATTTCGTTTTAGGTTTTTATTTATAGGTTGTTTGTCAATTAATGAATGGTTTAGTACATAATGATTAAGTGGTTAGAATGATTAAGAGACTCTCATGATATAGTACAAAATGAAATATAAATGTTTGGTAATTGTGTATAATGAAATTAGGGCTCTTAATGGTTAAGGGAGATCCAGGATACAAAACCATTCAGAGGCTTTTGAAACCATTAAGAGGCAGACTTTTTTCTTGCCAAATATGATTCACCTCTTAACGATTCAAAGATTGCCTCTTAATGGAACTATTAAGAGGTAAACAAACAACCCCTTAGTGTAATGATGAATTTTTTTTATAATTCTTTCTACTTTGTATTATTTTTCACATGTAATCGATAGATCTATAATTTTGATAACGTGTATGTCAAATTGTCAAGTTATATTGTAATTTTTTATTACATTATAAAACGATACATCAAAATTAACTAATCTCAATAGGCTGACAAAATCTGTTCCATCGGATGAAATGGGTGTGGAATGATAATTTTTGAATGTTTGTTGTATTAATCTTTTAAAAAGTGATCATTACTCTGAATAAAAATCAGGGATTCTAATGACCAAATGGCAGTTTACCAAATATCAATCAGGTAAGTGTTTACTGAGTCACTTAACTTACTGGATGAGCATAATAAGAACTGATAATCTTGCTCCGTATAAAACATAGCATAGATCGATAATCTTACCCGATAACTGAGAGTGATGACTTCTATTCGATTAAAGTTTATCGGATAGAGATAATGTCGACCATGTCATATCATTTATTTTTCAACATAAAGTGTGATATAATAAATGCAGCCTTACATGACATCAAGTGTTAGGTGTTCATTTATTAAATGCAATATTTATTACAAATTCAAAATATTAAAATCAAGTGATTTTATATGCAATAAAAATATAATTATTATGGTTAAATTTAAATGCT